TCTGGTATAAGCCAGCATTGGTATGAAGAAGCAGCTTGAAGTAGAAGTGAATTTTCTTCTACTGTGTCCACAAGAAAATGTCTCTTTCATCTCCCCAGACTTCCCAAGTGCTTGGCTGTTACATCAAAGATGGAAAAGAGCAAGGCATAACTAACCAGAGAATTCTGGGGGATGTTATCTGTGTGAGCCCTCCCAACAGAAGTATAGAAGAGTTTCTTACCATTGATGCTATCCAATAATTCTGAACATTGCCTGGGCTCATTTAGGAAGTTCATGCTTAGAGCCTGGGGTTGTCTCACAGGCTTTCTCATCATGTATGGTGGCCAATGCTGGCCATCAGGTGGCTATCAGCTAGATCTGAGACATACCTATTATAGGCCCTTCTCTGTACATCACACCATCTACACAGAATCCTGTTCCAAGAGCAAATGCTTCAAGAGCTTGACACTGGAAGAGTGGGGTGTGTGTGTGTGTGTGTGTGTGTGTGTGTGTGTGTGTGTGTGTGTGTGTGAGAGAGAGAGAGAGAGAGAGAGAGAGAGAGAGAGAGAGAGAGAGAGAGAAAGAGAAACACGAGTATGCAGGTAGAGGCTGAATTGCTCTTTTATTTTTGAATATAACCTCGGTTTACTTTCTACATCTTCACCATTTCTCTTGCTGTCAGACCCTCTCCTTCTTGTGGCACTGGTTCCTTATACTCCAGACTTCCTCGGTATCTTACTGTTTTTTTCCATGACGCGTTCCTCTTAGCACACCTCACCTGGGAAGCATACCATGACTGTGACATTGCTGGTCACGGTAACTGCGATCTGTGGGTTATGACGGTGTTTGTTGTCTCTCTTCTCAGGAAAACGGCTGTATTCTTCCCTCTCCGTGTTCTGTGTTTTGTGAAATCTAAGCAAGATTGAAAGGGAAGGGAAGGCTCTTCTGCCTCCTGCAAGGGGTGCATCTGCATAAGTTGTTTGAAGTTCTTCTATACGGCAGATTTGTCTTTGCTCTCTCGGTTATTTATATCTCTATAGATTCATGTATATTTATTTTATCATTTGGGTGGTAATCCAGTACCGTGTGATTTATTTTATAGTTCAAAAGTTTCCAGTTTTGAGCACTAAAGGTTCCTTTAGTTTGGAACTAAACTGTGTCCCTTTTTACATAATCTCCTCTTTTAATTTTTTTCATCATTTCCTTTTATCCTGGCACCTCAGGATGCCCAAGTTCTCTTTAATTTTTCCTACGCTACCTCCAAAATTAGTCATTTTGCAAGGCCTTTTTAAATTTTTTTTTTTTTTTTTTGGTTTTTTGAGACAGGGTTTCTCTGTGTAGCTTTGCGCCTTTCCTGGGACTCACTTGGTAGCCCAGGCTGGCCTCGAACTCACAGAGATCCGCCTGGCTCTGCCTCCCGAGTGCTGGGATTAAAGGCGTGCGCCACCACCGCCCGGCGAGGCCTTTTTAAATTTTTATGTTTCACTCCACCACCACCATCATCATCATCCACCACCATCATCATCATCGTCATATATTGTGTGTGTGTGTGTGTGTGTGTGTGTGTGTGTGTGTGTGTGTGTGTGTGTGTGTGTGTGTCTTGTGCGTGCAGGTGTGCATATCACAGCACACATGCAGAGGTCAGAGGACAATCTTTGGGAATCATTTCTCTTCTTCCACCATGGGTTCTGGGAATTGAACTCACATTGTGAGGATTATTCAGCTCTAGCATGAATTGTTAGAAGGTCTTATTAATAAAAACAAACCTGGAGCCAGGTATTGAGTGAATGCTGAAAGATCAGAGAAACAGAACAGGCCACAGCTAACCTTCAGCCAACTTCTCAGCTGATCTTCCTTCCTCAAACTGGAAGCCTCTGTGTCCTTATCCGAATGGATCTCAGCTGAACTGCTGCTCAAAAGCCTAAAATCTTAACGAGACTCTAGTTTCTGGTCCTCACACCTTATATACCTTTCTGCTTCCTGCCATCACTTCCTGGGATTAAAGGCATGTGTCACCATGCCTGGCTGTTTCCAGTGTGGCTTTGAACTCAGAGAAATCCAGATGGATCTCTGCCTCCAGAATGCTAGGATTAAAGGCGTATGCCACCATTTTCTGGCCTCTATCTAGTAGCTGTTCTGTTCTCTGATCCCAGATAAGTTTCTTAGGGTGCAAAACATATTGGGGGGCACAGTATCACCACATTCAGCAAGCACTTTTCCCCACTGAGGCATCTCATGTTCTCCCCATTATTTTTTTCTTTAAATGGAAGAATGGTATTATAACGCCTCGCTTCAGATGGCACAGAAAATCTCCTGGCTAAGATTTCTAATAAGACCATATCTAAAGGGCTCAATTGCAGTCCAAGTCAGCCAGAGGAATATATCGGTACCTAGCCCAGTTGTCATCAGAGAGGCTTCATCCAGCAGCTGATGAGAGCAGATGCAGAGATCCACAGCCAAATATTAGGCAGAGATCGGGGAACCCCGCAGGAGAGGAGAAAGAGGATCACAAGAGCCGGAGGGGTTGAGGACACCAGGAGAACGTGGCCCACAGAATCAACTAAGCAGGTCTCGTAGGGGCTCACAGAGACTGAAGCGGCAATCCTGGAGCCTGAAAGGGTCTGCGCTCGGTCCTCTGCATATGTGTTATGGCTGTGTAGCTTGGTGTTCTTGTGGGACTCCTAACAGTGGGAGTGGGGGTGTCTCTGACTCTTTTGCCTGTGCTTGGGACCTTGTTCCACCTATTGGATTGTCTAGTCCCGTCTTGATGTCAGGGTTTGTGCCTAGTCTTATTCTAACTTGTTATGCCGTGTTTGGTTGATATCCCTAGGGGGCCTGCTCTTTTCTGAAGGGAAGTGAAGGAGCAGTGGATCTGAGGGAGGAGGATGTGGAGAAGGGACTGGGAGGAGGGCAGGGAAGGGAAACTACAGTTGGGATGTATGAGAATAAAAAAAAGACCGCCAAAAGAGTGAAAGACGGAAAAAAAATTCAGGGGCTGATTGATGAGACACTGCAGCATTAAGAAAAGACATCATCAGGTGACAGTGGTGGCGCACGCCTTTAATCCCAGCACTCGGGAGGCAGAGGCAGGCCGATCTCTGTGAGTTTGAGGCCAGCCTGGTCTACAGACAGGTTCCAAAGCTACACAGAGAAACCTTGTCTCAAATGACACTTACAGGGAAGCAAGTAAGGCAATGTGTCATGGAGGAACATGGAGGAAGGCGGCCACCTAGTCACATGGTGTCAGTGAATTCAGTACATTGAGGCCTGAGCACTCGATTTAACAACACAGCGGTCATAGGTTCCCTTGACAGCAGCAGGTAAGTGGAGAGGCTGGAGGGAGGGCTCGAGAGGTAAAGCGCTTGCTGCATAGTCATGAAGACCTGACTTTGAATCCTCAGCATCCACAAGAAAGGTCCCAGGCATGTATCGGCTCCAAGTGCCGAGACAAGATCCTTGGGGTTCGCGGGGCAGCTAGTTTTGCCAAATCAGTGAGCTCCAGGTTCATTGAGAGATCTTGTCTAGAAAAAGAAGGTGGGGGTGGGGTTGAAGAAGACACTCAGTGTTGACCTCTGCCCTCCATGGGGTGTACACACACCTGCATGTGCACCTACCCCCAACATGTGCCACCCCCGACACACATGCATGCACACATACATACACACTCACAGTTTAAAAAAAAAACAGATTTAAAACATGTAGTTAAGTGGAATCAAAAGGGTAAAAGGCTGAATGTAGTGATTTAAATAGAAAAATGTGAGGTAAGAAATTTGATATAGTAGAGCTTGCTCTTTGAGGAATTTTGTTACAAAAAGGAGTAAAAAATGGTGTGGCCATAAGTAGGGGGAAATGAGTTTAAGGAAAATTTTACGCATGTCCATAGAATAAGCCATTACGAGAGCTGGGGACTGAGGAGAAAGGCAGCAGATAACTGGAGCACTATCCTTGTCTAGGTGACAGAGCTCGTGTTGTGTGCGTTAGTGGGAGTGTGTCTCACTCCTCTAACTCCATCAAGGAGGCAGAGTGTATGGATGCAGATGCTGCCAGCATGTCCGCTGGAGGTGAGGACCCGTTGGCATTCCCTTCTGATTGAGCCAGTTAGGTTTGATGGAGTAGGAAGGTCTCAGCTCGTCACAGGAACGGAAGAGGGTATGTTAGAGGTGTAAGAAATGAGAAGGCATAAGCCCTTTATTGAACACGAGAATGAATGGACAATGAGTGACAACATGAGCTCACTGAGGGTCCTCACAAAGCGAGGACAGCAATTGATTATTTTTCCCATCCACCATTAAGATCGGTGCTGATGGGTTGGGGATTTAGCTCAGTGGTAGAGCAAGCGCAAGGCCCTGGGTTCGGTCCTCAGATCCAGAAAAAAAAAACACAACAAAAAAAAATCACACAAGATTGGTGCTGACTAGACAGATACATTTCACAGGGTACAGTGAACTGAGAAATAATAAAGAGATGAGGTTACAGGAGATTGTAACAACTACTAGAGCTGAGTGTGGGGGGGGTGTTGAAGGTACACCAAGGGGTTGGTGGTGGGGCAATGGAAATTTGTGAACTATAGAACTGAATGCGCTGGTGAATGTCCTGTGCAAGGGTTGACTTTTATAGAAACAAGAACAACCCTGTTCACCAGGAAACTGAGCTTTAGGAACACATCCATCAAAGTATCCGTTCCTGTTCCCTGGAGCTGGGAAATGGCTTAGTGAAGAGTTGACAAAAGTTTGGAGTGTGGAGAAAGATAATTATACTTCCCCCACCAATCATATTCACCATAATTAGACAACATAGCAACCTAAGTTTTTTGCAGATATAATAATGAGATTCATGAATTTGGGCTGTGGCTATAGCTCGGTGGTGGAATACTTGTCTGGCATGCCCAAAGCATTGGAAGCAATTCCCAGCAGCACAAGGTCTCCAGTAATCTTTGTCATTTCTGCCATTGGAGAAAGCTCCTGGTATCATATCAAGTCACAATATTTAGTTTAATAGTCTTTTATTTTTGTCCCATACAGGGTGTTATCAATATCTTTTGCCCAAAATTTGTTTAGAAGTTGATAAATGTTGCCACACCCAACTGAGAGAATAAAGAGATTTATCCTTCACTCTTGAAGAACAACAGAGTAAGTATCCAAGCTAGGCTGGGCGTGACTGAGTGGGACGGGGCTGGATGAGTGTGGTAGAGGCAGAATGAGGTAAGCTTGTTTTCTGGAAGCAAGAGATAGAATGCAATTATGTTCTCACAGGCTTGGCCATGTGTCGGGTAAAAAGGAGGAGAGTTGGAACCTGAAACCATTAGTGGTCAGGAATGAAAATGCAGAATCAGCTCAGGCGAGATGGCTCAGTGCACAAACGTGGAATATTATTTTAACACGTGTTACATTCGTTTATGTTGTCAAATATTTGTTCAATGATGCAAAGATGTGTTGCATTCTTTTATGTTGCATCTGTTTTAACTCTATGAAGCTATGCTACTTTGCCTGTCTAAAACACCTGTTGGTCTATTAAAGAGCTGAATGGCTAGGCAGGAGAGGGATAGGCAGGGCTGGTGGGCAGAGAGGATAAGCAGGAGGAGAAATCTGGGAAGAAGATCAGGGAGTGAAAGGAGAAGGAGAGGGGGACTCCAGGAGCCAGCCACCCAGCTACACAGCAAGCCACAGAGTAAGAAGTAAAGAAGCGTACATAGAAAGGTAAAAGCCCAGAGGCAAAAGGTAGACAGGATAATTTAAGAAAAGCTGGCTAGAAATAAGCCAAGCTAAGGCCGGGCATTCATAAGAAAGAGTAAGTCTCCGTGTATGTATTTGGGAGCTGGGTGGCGGGCCCCCAAAGAATAAAGGGTAAAATCAACCAACTACAGGTCAAGGTGTTTGCTGGCAAGCATGCTGACCTGAGTTTGATCCCCAGGACCTAGGTGGTGGAAGGAAAGGACTGACTCGCCCCAACTTGTGCTCTGACCTCCACATGTGCACTGTCGCAGGCATGCACCCTGTCCCCTCCCTCACACACAAATAATAAAATAAAATAAAATCAGTCTTTATTACAGATGATGCGGGTGCTACACATCTGTTGTGCGACATGGTAACTAGAATCGTAAGCTCTGGAGTTAGACTGGAATTTAAACCCCATGTCCTTAGCCCTGTGGTCCTTCTTAGCGATTTGGCCCTATGGAAATTACTTAGTGCTCCATTCCGGGAGACTGCCCTACAGGTTGCAAAGGATCAGAATAGAACTATTCTAAAATGGCCTCTTCTCCTTATGGCTTCTGTCTCCTGTATTAAACTCCACCACCACCACCCCCCTCCCATTGGAGTGGAATTCTGTGTTTGTGCACTGCACCTGAAATGAGAAATTTTGACGTCTATCGAATTTCAATTAATCTAAAAAGAACGAACAATCCAATACTTTGCCGGTAATGCATTTTTTTTTTTAGCATATTTAGAACAAGTTTTGTTCTCTATCTACCTTTTCAACTGTTAATTTTTTTTTTTTTTCGAGACAGGGTTTCCCTGTGTAGCTTTGTGCCTTTCCTGGATCTCGCTCTGTAGACCAGGCTGGCCTCGAACTCACAAAGATCCGCCTGGCTCTGCCTCCCGAGTGCTCGGATTAAAGGTGTGCACCACCACCGCCCGGCTTCAACTGTTAATTTGACGAGATCTAAATAACCATATACACATTTCCAATGAAAACTTAATATCTGAATTAAGATACACCCAAAGTGTAAGCACCATATTTTGAACACTTAGTTTGTAAATAAGTGTACTTAAAATACCTCGCTGATAAATTTTCTGGGTTTTTTTTTTGGGGGTGGTGGTGGTGAGATGGTATCCTGTAGTCCAGATTGGTCTTGAATATACTATGTAGTTGAGGACAACCTTGGATTCCTGACCCTCCTACACCCTTCTCCCAAGAGCTGAAATTACAGGTGTGCCATTCTACTCAGCTTGGATTACATATTAAATATTTTCAAAATTCTGGCTCAAGATAGACTATTCAAATTAGTACTGTCTTTTTGGTTTTAAAATGAGACTACTCAAACGCCTAAGTTATGTGCCTGGCATGTATCACAATTAACAGATAATTTTGGCACAGAGTACCCATCTCAGGCCTGGCTTTTATGTTAGCTGCCTTCTCCTGTCTAAATTCAGTGGCAGCCGGCTGGAAAGAGGGAAGAGAAGGAGGTGGAATGGGACAAACTTTCTTCTTCCTCAGCAGGAAGCTGTGGCAAAGACAGCATCCATAGTGAGTTCTTTGGCTCAACGGTTTCTTCCGCACTGGGGTTATTTCTACTACATTCCAGGCAGGCTATACTTTCTGGAGAGGTTCTGAAAGGAGTTATGTCAGCAGCTCAGACAAACTGTTCAAAGGCAGCCTTCATGAAGAGATGCTTGATTTTCAAGAGTTAAGGGTCATGGCAGAGAGACCGCTCAACTCAGCCTTCGACATGGGGGTTGGGGTGGGCGTTGATTCAACACGGTGAGCTCCTTACCAGTAGGCTGCATCATCTCCTGCTCCATTCAGCAGCTTCAAAGGAGGCCAAGGGTGTCGTGAAGAACGGTTAAGAAGACCTCTGCAAATGAAACACTAACCAAGAAATTAGCAAAAAGGAACATGCAGAAATAAAAGTTGGCTTCCCCACCTCACACACTATATTATAGTAATGCACTCTCCCACTCTGGTTAAAAAAAAAAATTTAAAAACAAGTCAGTTAAATATTTACATGCAGAATCAGCCCTGGCAGCAAATTCAAAGTTGACTATTAAAGCCGGCAGAAGCTGCTTCTGTGTCAGAGGCTTTGAGATTCTGGGCCTCAATTAACCTTTCCAAATAGGAACCGACAGCCCTGGATGGAAAGTATGGGGAGACTAAAATGTTTCTGAAGAATGTTTGACTACAAAGTAAACAGCCCAAATAAAAATATTGAAACGGATGCCGCCTCCACATTCCATGAAGCTGAACACAGCAAAAATGTACCGTTGAGTTGAAAGAGATCGCAAAACAAGTTGCGTTTAACCAAACTACATGAAATGAGTTGTGTTAGAATAAGACAGAGAAAAAATTTCTCCGGTTATTTTCGGTCTTGACATGATGTTGCTGACATTAAAGGCATAACTTCACAGATACTTATCTGCACGCAAGCCTTCCTGTCATTTCTGGAGCCAAAGCAACGCATGAGAAAAATATTTACTAGATGTATTTATTCACTTTGAAGAAGGATGCTCTTCTGGTAGCCAAACCATTTTCTTTTGGTGCAAAATAGCACAGTACATATTCTTCAGATTCAGCATTTCATTATGATGGAAGAAGGAGAAGGGACCTTAGGGAACCCATGGCATCATTAAGAACTGTAAGAGGGAGCCCCAGAATGCTACAAAACAACACACACCAATGTTAAATGTTGGAAGCACCCATCCACAAGCGGGTGTCTCATGGTCAGTGCCCAGAGCGTTTATTAGCCAGCACGGTATTCTCTGCGGAATGCTGGCATGTAGCTGTAAGAAGTTCAGGGCTGTGTCTCAGAAAGGCCTTTTGCATCAACTAGCTGACAACATAGACTAGAAAAGTCTTTGTGACATGTTAAGCATGTGTCGTTCGTTCGGTAAGCCTTCAAAGGTGGTGAAGCCCAGCACTGTCCTTCACCCGACTGGCTTGTCCACTGTGAAGAGAATATCACTGTTTTCTGATCCTTTGCACCAGCTAGTTCTTGTCTGGACTCCTATCTCTGAGCTGGTGAACCTTGCCCACTTCTCTCTCTCTCTCTCTCTCTCTCTCTCTCTCTCTCTCTCTCTCTCTCTCTCTCTCTCTCTCTCTCTCTCCACAGGGGATTTCTCTGTTGAGTATTCTTTAACTCTGAATCTTCATGCTTATTGGATTTAATCCTGCCAGTGCCCTGACTTGGGATGGCCATGGCACTTAGAACAGTATTTAAATGGTATTTTAAAGTTATTTTTAATGGTTAATACACATTACCCTCAGATACAGGAGTTGTGCCTTTTACATTCCCGGTCCCTCTTCTGCCTACTATAGTTCCTGCAAAAGATAGAGGCACTGAGCATGTTTCCGGAACAGAACTAAAAGTCCCACTTTGAGGTTTCAGTGTATGCAGACAGTTGGTTGCTATCGTGCTATGGATTCAGGTGGCTCTTGCACTGTTACTCCGTTGTACCTTCCACACCTGCCCTCTAGGGCTATGGCACTTCAAACTCTTCCATTCAGCCTGCTTCTGCTGCCTGCTTCCTGTCGTCTCCGAGGCAGAAATGCTTTTCTGGTTACACTCCTCTCTTACCTTAGAAGGATGCCACAGAAGAGTGGTGTGAGCCGTAGGTGAAATCATGGCTTCATTTGACAGTTCCTTAGGACTGAAGCAGCCTTTTCAGAATCGTTGCTGAAATTTTCGTCACACAGCACATTCACTCTTTCTCACAGATACATTGTGTTCTTTCCCCACCAGATAGCCTGGTCAATAGGGTTGATGTACTTTAAACTTTCACGTGTATGGATTTCTTTTTGTCTTGAACCTTTTTAGAATTTGGACTGCAGTGGGCCATTCCCAGCTCCATCAAACTTGCTATAATGAGCAATGTCTGAAACATCAAATGTGTTCAGTGCCAAAGGTTTGGCTAGATGTGAGGGGCTGGATGTATTTGCAGAGCAAAGGTTTCTAAACATAGATGCTAGAATTTAACCTGGAAAGAGGGGGTAGGATATTTCCTTGCATTACATACATCTCTACTTTAATAAAGAGCATGGATCTGAGATAAAAAAAAACTGAAGTTCCTTATCTTTAGAAGCATTTTGTAACAAGTATATTGTAAAATCTTCCCCCAGAATGTCTCTGGTCTTATGATTAAAAACAATACCACCAAAGGGAAAGTGTAAAAGCCTGTTTCCTTAATGAGACTATTATCATTCTTCTAGCTACATCTTCAAATTTATTCAATTAGTCCTATGATCTCAAAAGAGCTTTTAGTTTTAAGTATTTATTATTATTATTATTATTATTACTATCATTGTTTTCATTTTTGTTGCATGTGTCATGGCATATTATATGTTTCAGAAGACAAGGTGTTTCTCTCCTTCTACCTTATGTGGACTCCAGGGATCAAACTCAGATAACTGGGCCTGG